CAGTATCCAAATCTGTAAAAATACAAATATCCGGCATATAATTTAAATTTTTTTCGCATAAATTTCTTTTCTCTTAAATTAATTTTTTTATTTATTTATAAACAGACTAAAAATTATACGATGTAAAACTGCCTAAACAAACGTTTCCCGCCGATTGACAATTGATAATGACTTGGGCTTTAATAAGTAGCCAATGGATTTATAATATTCCTAACTACTTGTCTATGCTGAACGTAGAAGAACTTATTGAACTTTTTGTAGCGACTTATCGCTGAGTTCGATCAAAGTCCAGAAAGTGTTAAAATATACTTTTATTCACTCAAAGAAATAATAACAGATGGCCCCTTCTCGGACTTACAGGAAAGCCTCCACTTGGGCTTTAAAACAAGATAAGAAAATAAGAAACTAATCTAATACTAGACTAAATTGATTTAGCCGAAGCTAGACACAATTATCTAACGTAGTTAGCCCTTCATTTAACTTAGCCGGCGATTATTAACAGGCACGTACTATACAGTTAGCTTAGTTAGCAATAGTTAGCAATAGCTAAGCAGTTGTTAGCTTAATAATGAAGTAGCTTGACAGCAAATACACGCCACTAAGGACATCTAAGCTGTCCTACTGAAATAAGATGAAACTTCCTTAAATACTCTGTAGAGACATTAGATTTTTTTTTTTTAAGCAGGAGTCATGAAAAATTAGCAATACCCTCTCCGAACCACGGACCTCTCGAATACGCGTCGAATGTTATTGCCATTACACAACGAAGGCCTGCTAAGAAAACGGGAGAAATACCTTACAACTCCTTCTACCTCTTTTACATGCAACGCCATACTAAAAACTCATTCTGGAAGGGAGGTGTAAGTGGGAAACAAGAATTTAAAGGAAAGAGTTTCAAAATTAAAAATAACTGTTAGTAAATTAAAATGAACTTTACAAGTTTAAAGCTTTTCGCGGGGCAGCGAATAACTACAGAGTGCCAATAAAGGCATAAAATAATCATATAATATGTAATATCAGAAATCTTTGCTTACCATGAATTTTGCAAACGCTTTTTTTTTTTTTAATAAATTTCCAATTCTTTAGCGTTAGTTTGGAATGTAATTCACACGTCAGAGCAATTTTCCACAGTTTCTTAGAGATTCCGTCGTTTGTAACATGAGAGAGAATTGAACTTTTTTTTACATTCAGCATGTTTTAGTTATTTATTTTTTTATTATTTTGAAAGCTTGTACCATTTTTAACATGATGAAAATTTAAATTTCTAGCAGAACTTGAAGTTTATTTGTAGCGTCTTGCCATGTTCACCTCAGATATAGAAGTATTAATACATTTTGATAAAAAAGTAAGAATTTCTAAATGCAAACGATAATTCTGGTATTTTTATTTAAAACAAAAAATTATAGCAAGGAAATCTGTCAAATATGTTAGCTTCCAAGTGTCCAAATTATTATGTGAGTTACTCATTAACTATATTTTGAATAAACAATTTTATCACAAGGTATATCTGGATGATATTTATTTTCCAATAAGCGGGACTTAATATAAAGGAAAAATAATTCATTAGAAAAACGTCCGTATTGCAATATTTATTACAAGATCTAGGCAAAAAAATTTAAAAAATGCGAGTGTTAGAAAATAAATGTTTGCTACTGTATATAATCGGACCCTGTTGGAACTTACTAAAAAAATAAATGTTTAAAAAGAATTGAAAATATATCAATATTACGTACACTTTATGTGAAAAATAGACAGAAAATTATCATTTCATCGTATTACACAAGCTGGCGTATTTCACATTATTTGAGATAACAATAATAATGGAAAGAAAAAATTCTGATGTGGACACCACATCACTTCCTTGTACGGCCTTCTAAATTATACACATGTGTTTCTCCACTGCATATAAATTTTTTCTCTCTAATTATTCTAACTTGATTAACCGATCCCTCAAGGCAAGTCGAAAATGACATCAAAAATTGCAAATTTTGAAATTAATTATCCTGGTCAATTTTTGTCTTACGGGAGTCAAGCTTCTTATAATTTCATTTTTCATAACGAAAATAAAAACTTTCTCAAATATAAGTACAGGAACCAAGAGATCGCATCAAAAGTTAAATTTCCATATTTGATGAAAATTAAATTTTTTTTTTAAATTTCACATTGCAAAAACATAAATATTTTCATCATTTAAAGCACTTCTGTAATTGGAAGTATCTGACTGCAACGACCAAGGATTGCGAAAATAAAGGCTGGGTAAGAGGTTGGGTATATGTAAATTGTTTGGTACTACTGATTGCAACAAAAAATGGAGGTGCCCAGCCAGATGTTATAGCAGTCCCATGAGCAAAATTTCACCATTCTATGGTTAATCATTTTTGAGTCATGCGAGATGCATATGTACCTATAGACGTCACAACAAAAATCACTTTTGAATCTATTTTACAGTTCGTTTTGGAAAGGAAGTCCTTTATACTGTTCGTACGTACGGAAGTCACGAAAAAAATCGTCCAACTGGATTCGGAAGCGGTTAAAAAGGATATTTTCGTTGAAATAATGATACGCGGAATTTCTCGCGATTGCAATACTTCCTTTACTTCACAGAAGGAAGCAAAAATATGCATTATTACTAATTATTTTCACTTTAATTCCTGTGGCATTTATAATTCACATGGCTTTAAAAAATTCTCTCAAATTATGGTTTTTGACTAGCGTATTCCTTATAAAAGTTGCGTGGAATTCTAGGTCTTCAGAACATAGTTTAAAGACCACCGTCTTGTGTTATGTTCAATCATTCAAATTCTTTCCCTGCTGTGGTTATATTTCGAAATAAATAGATATCAAAGAAATATGTGATGAAATACTACAGTGAAAATTTCATAAAATTCTCGAAAAGTCAAAGGGCTTTTAAAGGATCAGGTTATTAAAAACTCTGCAGGGTTTCGTTTTAGATAGGGTCATAGAAGAGTCCGGTATAGTGTAAAAAATATTTATTAACAAGTTACACACGGACATTACATTTAAGAAAAATTACTGAGCAAGATCTGGTGCAACCTATCAAGTGGGAGCCTTGGCTTTTACTGAAGTACTTCTCTGGCTACTCACCAGAGGGCAGCCTTGTTGTCACAGTTAGTCCTACAGTTTATGTTAAGGCATTGGTTACAATATTAAATATAAAAAGTATATATATATGAAAATATATATAAATATATATATGTTGTATGATCTTAAATTCACTTAGTGTGAAATCGAGTTATTCTACTACTTGCGCAATTGCAGCAAAGTAAGTTAATAATAATTTATTTACTAAAGACTACAAGTCTTACCGACTGATATAATTCAAAGCCCCCGCTGCCGATAAAGAATTTCGGCAACACAACCCTTCTGAGTCAGACGCGAAGAAAACACTTTGCCCACTCCCCACTAGAAAGAACGTAAGTTAATTAATGCTTTTGCTGGCCTTTATATCTTCATGTACATTCCCTTTCTTATTATATATTTTTTTAAATTTATATTTTTTATTTTTTTATTTGTTTTTGCAAAGATTACATTATTTTTCTTATATTTTGTAATTTTCTAATGTTTATTTCAATTACTTTGAATTTTATTTCATAATGCCAATTTCCAATGTTTAATTTTTACAAATAGTTTTGAACTAAAATGCATAAACACGAGGGTGTCGGAGGACAATTACTCGAGCAATATCAATTTTACTGCAGAAATTTCTTTTCACTCAAAATTGAATTAGCTAAAATGCTTAATCGGAATGAGTTCTTTGGTTAATCCCTTCTATTCACAGAAATGTTTGGCCTAGCTTGAATTGTCGGTTTGGCATCGCCTTATTACTCGAGTAAAGGACGAAACACCTTCGTTTTTATTTCTTAATTGTTCATTGAACGGGAGTTGGTTTGCTTCCCTTGAAAAGTCAACTAATTTCCGATCAATGGCAATGATTTCTTGCATTTAATTTAATTACTTGTTTTTAATTTATTTCTTTTTACAGAAATTTTGTTATTCATGATTTAATTCAAGTCCCCGTTAAACATTTTCAACAATTTACATTCAAGTTACTTTAAAACATTTTTCGAAATTGAACTTACTAAGTATGGATTCACTCTTTTAAGATAATTCTACTAAAATTAATCTTAGGAGATAATATAATCAATATTCTTTAGTATATAAATATATATATATATATATATATGTGTGTGTGATATTTTGACAGTTGTGATGAAGCTTGGCATCAACGTTCAGGCATGGCTTTTTGCAGAGTGGTAAGGAGGATATCCAATCACGACACACAGAGGAATTTCACTTTTAATTGCACATATTTATTTAATTCAAATAGCAGATGAATTTCCTTTTTCGACGAAGTTCTCCAAATTACATTTCAATAATGAGTTACTAAGTACGATTAAATTTTGACTTTCTGCGTCATAACATTCTAACAAAGAAAGAAAGATGAGAAGCGTAGCAGCATAGGTCCTAGCAGCACAGTTAAAGAGAAGCTTCTGACGCAAAATAGCGCGCACTCAGTATTTATAGTACCGGTTATGTAATAGGTGAGAATATTTTGGAAGTATTAGTCTAGGGGGAAGTTCCTTTATATATACGAGTATATATATCTGATGTACACACCATATGATTTCCTTGTACGGCCTATTAAATTATACATACTTTTTGCTGCACTTCATTTAAACTTATTTCCTCAAATTTCATTAGAGATACATTTCTCATTCAATCATTTCAGCCAGAGGGAGAGTTGGTTACAAACTCCCCCTCTGGCTCCGCCGACGTCCCGGCGAGGAGACAGAATTGGAGGATTTGGGAGCTCTTGTAACATTGTCTCTAGTCTCAGTTTTTTTGGTTTCCTGCGGAAGGGGACCTCTCTTTGGAGCACTGTACGGAACCACAAGTTCTTGATTATTTCGGGAACGCGAAGTAACTATATATATATGTGTGTGTGTGTGTGTGTGTGTGTGTGTGTGTGTGTGGTCTACCTCTCTTCCTGAGCGGAAGAATGGGAGAAGTGGACGAGTCTTTGAAAGGTGTTAGTGCAGACGTATGGTACGTTCCTAAGGGTTCTGATTGTTTATGAAGGCTTGAAAGGACATAGGAAGTAGGTGATTTCTGTGTCATTACCAAGTATGGACCGTCACGCTTTGGTATGAACTTTGAAGTCTTTTTGTTTTTTGCATTGCTAACGGGATGAAAATTGACCCATACCTTATCACCTGGTGAATAAAACACTTGTCGCCTTCCTTTATCATATTGCTTTTTACGTTGATCTTGCTTTATTTCGATACTCTCTCGTATGTCCTTTGTAATAGTTGCGAATCGTTTAAGATAAGGAGTGATTTCAGGAACAAAGTTATCATTTTCAACCACAGCTTTGAAATCGTGAACAACGTCGCCGACAGTCCTCAGCTCTTTTCCAAACATTAGGAATGCTGGTGTATGACCTGTAGTGTCACAGACGGCCGTATTCATAGCGAAGCGAATAATTGGGAGTTTCGAATGCCAGTTGTCATGCGCATCTCCTACAAGGATTGCAAGATGAGGTTTTAAGTCTCTATTTTTCCGTTCCACAGGATTTGACTGAGGAAAGTAAACTAGTATCAAGTTTTGATTGATATTTAATGTGCAGCAAATTTGTTGCATGACTGCACTGATAAACTGGGTGCCGTTATCACTGATGATTCTTCGTGGTATACCACGCCGCATGAATACTTCTTCGATGAGGGTTATAGCGCATTCGCGTGCTGTAGCTTGAGCAAGAGGAAATCAATCCATCGCGTAGCACAGTCTTCGACAATGAAGATCCATTGTTTTCCAGTGTCAGTTTTGGCAGTGGCCTAAACAAATCAATAGATATGATCTCAAAACGTTGAGAATAGACAGGGGTTCTTAACAGTCCAGCTGGCTTTTGGTTGGTAGCCTTGTAGCGGTTGCATTCAGAATAGCTTTTCACATAGTCGGATATATACTTTTTCATACCAGTCCAATAATAGCGTCTGGCAATTCTTTGGAATGTTCCTTCTTCTCCATAATGTCCAGCCATTGAGTCATCATGGTGCTTTCGCATGATGGATTCACGCTCGGCAGTTGGAATTACTAACTGGGCCTCTTCTGAATCAGAGTCAGGGACATATCGGTAGAGAACACCTTGATTCATTAAGAATCCTCGTTTAGTCCAGTTGGCATATTCTTCAGTTTTCTGAGTGGATTCGAAACTTTCTATAATCTTTTTTAAGTTTTCATCTTTAAGTTGAGATTCACGCATGTCTTTTGGACTTCTCGTGGGCATGTCCACCATAGATATATTTGAAATCTCGCAAGGTGAAACTTCATGTTCGGTGCTTGGAAGAGACAGCATGTCAGTGATGACGTTTGCCTTTCCAGGAATGTATTGTACTTTGAGGTTGAAAGACTGAATTTCAAGCGCCCATCTAGCAAGTCTTCTGGTTGGAGACTTTGAGGTTCAAAAGCCATTTTAAAGGTTGATGATCGGATGCTATAGTTACTTCTGATCCTTCAACGTAACCACGGAATTTTTTCAGGGCCCAGACTACAGCGAATGCTTCTCGTTCAGTCGTCGAATAGTTTCGCTCAACCGGAGAAAGCAGTCGGCTGGCATATTCGACAGGGTGCTCTTTATACCTTCCCCCTTGAAGTAAAACGGCTCCAAGAGCATAATTGCTTGCATCTGTTCGAAGAATATACGGTTGAGTTCCATTAGCTTGCTTCAACACAAGAGGTGTTATGAGGCAGTTTTTCAGAGTTTCAAATGCTTTTTGCTGGTTGAAACCCTATTCCCATTGGACTTTCTTCTTCGTCAAATCACTAAGAGGTCGTGATATTTCCGAGAAGTTTTGTATGTATCGTCTAAAGCAAGAGCACGTTTGAAGGAAGGCTTGGAGTTCCTTGATGTTTTGGGGAGGTGGAATTCTCTGGATAGAGGAAACTTTTTCTCGATCAACTTCGATTCCTTTTTGTGTGATCCAAAATCCCAAATATTTCACACGAGAAAAAGCGAAGTGGCACTTCTCTCTGTTTGCGTGCAGTTTGAAGAGGATAAGCCTTTCGAAAACAGCTTTGAGATCTGAAAGGTGTTTCTCGAATGATTCTGACAACACGATTATGTCGTCCAGATAGGTGAGGGTTAGGATGTCCTCAAGTTCATTGCGAAAACGGTTTATCAATCTCTGGAATGTTGCTGGGGCATTCCGAAGACCATAAGAAACGATATAAGAAGATCCGAAGATCATAAGAAAAGATGTGTTCCGAAGGGACACACAAATGCTGTCTTGTCTTGATCATCAGTATGAACCTTCACTTGGTGACAACTTGCACGAAGATAAAGGGTCGACATGAAAGGAGTAGGTTTTGCCTCATGTAACAGGTCATCCATTCTCGGAAGTGGGTAGGAATCCGGAACTGTAATCGCATTCAATTTCCGGTAATCTATGCAGAGGCGTACTGTTCCATTAGGTTTCGGTATTAAAACAACTGGGGATGCATAAGGGGATTCGCATTCTTCAATTATTCCTTCGGATAAGAGCTTGTCAATTTCTTGCTTTAAGATTTCTTTCTTAGCAGGGTTCATTCTGTATGGTGGTACAGCTATTGGGGGATGGTTTCCAGTTTCAATTCGATGTTATATGAAAGGCGTTGCTTCTCTCCCTGGTTGGAAGATAGTTGAATATTGACTCAATAGTTCATTTAATTCTGATCTCTGATGAGCCGATAGATGTTGCCCTTCACATTCTCGTAACAGTACAGTGTCAACCTCCGACGTACATTCGGTTCGATCATTGGGTTTAGAATCATCATCAATAAACTTAAACTTTTGTTGCGGATTATCGTGGTAAAACCACCAATCATTTTGTAGATCTAAAACAATTCCAGCGCTTCTAAGAAAATCCGATCCTAAAAGTGTCCTGTTACCCTTTGCTGAGGGAAGCGCAAATAAAGTTATGCGGAATGATCTTCCTTCAATGTGAATGTCTACTTGTGTCACGTAGAGCTCTTCGTTCCTTTGAATACCGTCACTTCAAGGAAATTCAAAGGAGAACAGATTCAATACTCTTATTTTATAAGAAAAATTTTCCAGCGGGTGTCATCGACTTTAAGAGAGATATTATTAGAACTATTTATAGAGTAGTTTTGTTCCTATTGTGTTATACGGAATTGGTTGTTGGGGCTCCAGAGCGGCGGAGTTGTTGAGAATCAGGAATGAGTTATTGACGATTCAGCGGCCCTGGCTGCGTCACTGGCTAGGTGTTTTAGGACAACTCCAACTGAAACTGCCTGTGTATTGGCCGGCACGCCGCCCCTCTCGATTTTTTATAAGTTCTTTTATGATACATTTTTGTTATCTACATGTAAGAGAGATTTTATGTATTATGGTGATTATTTAGCTTGTTGTACTGAATTTTATAATGTTAATCCTTACTGCATACACCCAGCCAAGAGAATGAGCATTAATTATGAAATGAATTTTGATTGTTTTGGTGAACTTGATATTTTCACTGATGGTTCTAGGTTTGGGGAAAGTGTTGGCCTATCTTTTGTTGTTTACTATTATGGTATAGAAATTGATTATTCAAAAATAAAGTTAGAAAAATTTAATTCTGTGTTTCAGGCTGAACTTGCTGCTATTTATTTTGCTATGAAATGGATTAAGAAAAAACTATCTAAGATTTATAGTATTGTAGTTTATAGTGATTGTTTATCTGGATTACAGGCTTTGAAAAGCTTCGATTGTAATAACTTGTAGGGTTTATATTTATTTTAACTAACATTTATTTTAAGTTTAAACTATCTTTCCTGTCAAGCCTTACTTTCCCCTGGAACTGCCAATGCCAGAATATGTAAATTTTAGTAGAACGCGCAAGGATTCAAATTATCAGCGGAAGTATTATGATTTAAATAGAACGGAAACGAGTTCGGTGTGTGATATTCTTACTTCACGAGCGCGGAGGTAGTTAGCGAGAAATTGAAGAACCCCGCGTTTCGGCCTATGTGCTTGGCGGGAAGTAGTGTTAATCGTTCAAGTGAGCTTCAAGTCTGCTGAAGTAGCAGCGGTATTGTAAAACGCGGTGAGTTAGTTATTTTTAGAGAGCCTCGTAGTTAGAGTCCTGTCTTTAGTTTCTTTTCAGGTTATTATTTTTATTTGACCGCCGAGTTGGCGCAGTCTGTGAGCGTCAAGAGCACGCAATTGTAATTTTTACGTTGAATAAAAAGGGACTTAAACCCTTCACAAGACTCTATCTTTTATCCAGTTTTCACAGTCACCTCTTGGTTGCGTGCAAGTTGGAGGCGCACAACGTTACATTGGCGCCCGAACACTTATCGAACTGAAATGGCCGAAAATTGGATGGAAGCCGCTGGACAACACCAAGAAATGACAAGCCAATTGGAAGGATTTGGATACCTGGTCCAGACTTTGAAGAGAGCGTCAATCAAGCCAAACGTCCAATTTCGACGGAAAAAATTCGGTGGCGGTATTTCTAGAAGGCCTAGAAAATCACTTTCAGCTCTACCTACCCTGTGCCTGAAAGACAAAAAGTTGCCATCGCCACATCAGCACTAAGAGGACAGGCCGCGCTATGGTGGAAGAATATAGGCAAATTTTTATTAGGGGAATTTGGAAGCCAGACATATACATTTGAAAATTTCAAAAAATCGTTAGTAAAGGCCTTCCCCATAGTGAAAGATCGCGTACGGCTGGAAGCCGAACTATATAGTTTCTATCAACGGGATATAGCAGAATTGACGGACTTTATTCTACGAAAAATTAAGCTAACGGATATGCTGTATGGGAAGAAACCCGATGCGGAGATTATTGAAATAATCTTACCAAGATTGTTACCCGCTGTTCAAGACTACTTTGAAATTAGAAACCCAAGCACATTGCAGGAACTCTTCGAATTGGCGGTGAAGTTTCAAAATCGCAGAATAGCGGAAAAGAGCGAGAGGGGAAACATATTCTCAAAGTACCCGAAGGAAATCTTCAAATGAGGAAACCAGAAATGGAAATCGCTCTTATGGGGGAAAGAGCTATCAAGCTAACTCATCGAAACTCGAAGGTCAAGGCCCAAAAAGAAAATTTGAAAATAAACATCCGCGTACCCAGAAGACACAGAATGAAAGGAAAGCTTTAAACGAGTAGAGGGGCCTGTGAAAGGGAGGGTCCAGACCCCGGAAGTTTTAAAAAAAACCCTCAAATAGACATTTAAATACGGTCATCGTAAAAAACTCACAGCTACCAATTATACAAGTCCTGGTTGGCGATGTACCAGTAGAAGCCCTCATCGATACAGGAGCAGAAGGAAATTTTATGAGTGAAAATTTCTTCAAAAAGAATTTTTATAGGGTACGATTATTTAAAACCAAAAATACGGAAATTATAGCGGCGCAAGGAAAAACATGTCACTGCATCGGGAAATTATCATTAAACTTACAGGTAAAAGAGGAAAGTCTCAAAGTATTAATTTTTGTAGTGAAAGACCTGCAAAACTCTCTTATTTTAGGTATGGAGTTTTTAAGGGCCGCGAGGGCCAAATTAAATTTTCAAGATAGTTCCGTGGTGTTGGAGATGGACCAGAGGGTGGTGGAACCTGTGGAGACACCTCAAGTGGACCTTAGCCATCTGAATG